CGACTATAATTGAAAACGTACAATGAAATATGAGCAAATTGAAAGGTTTCAGGTTTATCCAAGAGTAAGCCTTATTTAGGGCTGTTTCTATTCAACAATGAGAGCTCACATTTGACGATTAGTCCTTATTAAAATACGAAACCCCAGCCGTCAGTGCTATAAGGAACCTCAAGTTTACCATGTTGTAAGCTTGAAACTCAAGCTATGTAGTGCTGATCCTCTATCGATTTCACCTTATAATCTTTTACATAGGGTACATTCTCCCACCATCTAGACTCTCACAATCGTTTCGTTATAACATGAGCACCCGATATGTATGGTAAACAATGCAATTTTTGTGGTGAACTATGAGGATTTGTAAGGAACGCACCCACTTCAATACTTCAAGGTAAGTAGCAAGTCAAACTACGTGTAAATTTCATTTCAAATAAATATCTTATATAAAATTATAAGCCATAAACAAAATATAAACAAGGAAATATGCAAGTCATAATAAAATAGTTTCTGAAACAAAGTCAAATCTCATCAAGATCAGAAAATGGGAAAAAGAAGTGGAGATCACAGTTCCGTGAACCAGATCGGAAATTAAGTTTAGATAAAGAAAGTGAGGCCTTGAGAGCACTTCGAAGGAGCCACAGAGGCCATAGTTCCAATAGGGAAGCTTGTCCACAGCCCAGACTCAATGGTTGAAGAACATAAGCAGCCATAGATCTTCCATAAAGACCTGTCGTCAAACGAGTTATGCCAAGTGAAGCTGAAGTCTCAATTCTCGAAAACCAAGATACCCAGTTGGTTGCGAGAGCGCCAATTGCAAGTACACGCAAAGTTAAGGCAGGTGGATAACTCATTTCCTCATTCTCCACAGTGGGAATGGGCACCCGATAGAAAGGTGAGATCGCGTCAAACGGTGTTAGCCAAAGAATCCCATCTACACGAGGAATAGGTCCATTCCTATGGCGCATTAAATTAAGTACTGGAGACAAAGGAGAAAGAGCCTGCAATCACACAGATACGGTTATCTAAAAAATGAAGATGTTTAAACATGACCAGAAAAGTAGTACTCACCATAGGATCAAGAAGAGCAATGTTTTCAGCCCAATCATTCGCCTTGCAATATCGGCAAATATCTGACAGAAGACGTGCTGTACTAACTCTCCAGGGAGGAATTTTTATGCCTTCCATAGAAAGATTCACTGACTGCTGCGGTGCAAATCGTATTGACCACCGCGTTCGTCGCAAATGCCAAAAGAATTGTGGCTTTATATAAGGATTGACCAAAGAAGAACCGAAATCATGGTAGTTACAGTGGCCGCATTCGTGCATTAATCTATTATCTCTATATTCTTCATAATAAGTGTCTGCTGACATTGTTGAAATTGATTGCGCATCATCCCTGACAATGTTCTCTGGTACATGAATCTCCACTTCAACCTCATCCTCGGAATCTTCTTCATCATTCTCTGTGACTTCCGATTCAATTTCCATCTTCAATGTGTCCACAGCAGTTGCATCATCACCATAGTCACCTCTTTCTTCACCTTCCTCTAAGTTCTCGAAATTGAAAAGGCGTCCGAATCCATCACTACCTTGATAGCTATCATCATCTTTAAAAAGGAAGCACTCGGAATCTGCTTTGCCTCGTTCTCTTTCAAAGAACAACCCCCCAAATATATCCCTGTATCCTAAGCCATCTTCAAGTGCCCAAGGACAGAAATCTCCGGTTAATCCAGGTGCCACGAAGGGTTCGTTTATTTTGAATAAGTACTCAAGATCCAGGGAAGATTCGCATTCTCCGTAATCAACGTAGGAGTCATCGACTGCATCGTCATATACTGGATACCAACAACAAGAACTGGACGTTTGACAAGTGTCCGAATTCGATTGATACTCACGTAATTTAACTCCACTGTAGAGGTAACTGCTTAAATTACCTAATTCTTCTTTGTGGTGTGAAGCACATAGAGTTTCAAGAAAGTAAAAGATGGTTTTCTTGTGCACACCCTGCTTATCTGTGGGATTCAAGATAACAATGCGTTGAGATGAAGTTTCAATACTCACATACATCGGCGTATACTTTTCATAACTTTGTTCATCTAAATCTACAGAGTACCGAATTTTAGCACATGAAGGTGCGGTTTCAGAAGATGCAACAGAATATTCATCATCTTGTTCTAGGCCAATTTCCTGAAAGTGAATACGCACGATAGGGGTTAGTTTTAGAAAATCTATTGGTTGGCGATAAACTGAAAAATGTTCTACCTCAGTTTTTGGTAGTGGAATACGTGGAGTGACATTATCTTCTCCATCACATTCGCCATTCTCTGTAGTCCTCGAAGTAGGCGGCATTGATGACTCAGATTCATTCTCCTTTTTCTCGTCCTCTTCAGTTGGCAGGCAATTGTTTTCTCTTGCCCACTTGCACCAAGCCCCATTTTCTGGGAAAGCATTACCGTTTACATTTAGACCAGCCAACAGACGTTTTGTTTTTATTTCCAGTTCCGATATGTCATCCACATGGGCGTAGCTGTTATTCCCTGAGTCGAAATTAGGATGCTCTATTAGATAAAGCATTGCCTTCACTACATCAAGCAAACTCCAGCATCTAAGAGGCAATTTAAAAAATATGCATTACATTTTGATACTATTATAGCCTTTCAGAGGTTAGAATAAAACTTCATCCATTCTCCCGTGATAGCACAGTTTAAATAAGCAAATACTAAATGCAAAGCGGTGAATTTGTAAAAATGTTCACATTGAATAAAAGAAAATTCATGCACAACATTAGTTTGTACTCATTTTTATCGACCATGGCTTCGATACTAACAAGAATTGCGTTGAATACCAGACGAACTTGTGTATCTTCCCACTTTATGCCAACAACAATCTTCGGCAAATCTCACGCATAATTAAACAGTCTGGAAGGCTCTCACGGATTTTTCACGAGGCGATTATAGTGACTTCTATTCAAGGCTTACTTGCGTGGCGTCCCCCACTTCTAAATGGCATGGCAGATTGGAATGGTTACAATTGAATAAAGGAAAGGTGGCAGGTATGTGGACTTCCCACTTGGGGGTCAAACATTGATCTCCATTCACGAAAATATGAGTATTGGCATATCTTCTTATTACTTTGTAGGCTTCAAACGCAAACCAAATAGTTAATACAGTCAACAGCGTTATTAAGTTCACCCAAGGATGCAAAAGCAGCGGAAATAAGCCTTCAACGAGGTATTGTAAGTACACCCCTTTTTGATCATCCAGAAAGGGTGGCTACCAGTAGCAGCAGATAAAGCTTGTAAAATGGTATTTGTGACAAGCTATTCGAGATTTGCGAACTTACGACTGCCATTCATTGAGAAGACTCAAGCATATATAGCCCAGTTTTGCATCGATATTCGGATGAAAGATGGGTGAATTGAAGGTTACTTTCGGTGCCACTCTTGGATACCCGCCTTGGCATTGAATCTAAGAATTTTTACAACGAAGTCAAAGAGATGTGAGTCAAAAGGTCCTTTGATAGAATTTTATCGTGTTAAGAGTTTCATATTCAACTCAGCATCTTATTTACAGACAATTTCAACAAAAAAACATATAAGGCATGGGTGAATATTACGAAATCTACACAAGATTATGCTACTCAGTTATTTCAATATCCCTCCGGCACACTGTTATCAAAGTTAAATAAGTATTCTAAAGCCACCACTTCAATTTTCCTTTGTTTCATTCTTGTTCAACTAGGGATTAACTTTTGTGAGAAATTATGACGGTCCCATCTATCTAGCCATTTAGATTGCGTAAGGAAAAATAGAATAGACTTAAAGGGACCACCATGAAACGACGGAAATTGAGGGATCATTAAGAAATAAATAAAAGAATAAATTTCACCAATCAAAGGCAACAAAGTGACAAATAAGCTAAAGATAGCAAAAGATAAACATAAAGAAATCGATTGAATATATGAAGAGGAAGTTAGTCAAACTTTTGCACGTACTGTCATTGTGAAGACAGCGTGTGCATTATAACCCGTCTTTGGCTTCAGAGCTAGTCTGACCGTCATCTCGTCAATTCCAAGAATTTCTGCTTGATCATCGGTTGAACTCTCAACGGTCTTGTAAAGCTGTTGCAGATCCTTGTAAAATGTTCGCTGAGTTCCTAGTCGCGACATTGCCCTTTTAGTTATTGTTAACAATGGGACATTACATTTAAAACATATTCAAAGTTATCAAATGGATTAATATTGGGTGTATAAGAAAGAAGTCGCATATGTGAGAGGGAACGAGCCAACACCAACCTGATGATCGCCAACCCACAAAATTGTTAAAACTGTTACAACGCTTAATTCGCATACAATCGCACACTTAAGGCTTGATTTCAAGGCCACTTTCATCCAATCAGAGTGCGATGATGACACTGACGTCATGTTGTGCAATTTGCTCGCAAGTCTACTGGCTCCTTTAATAGCTTATAAACCAGTGTGGAACATTATTGGCTGCAAATGTAGTCAAGCCTTATAAGTCAAATGGAGAGATTCATTGCGCAACAAAATGCTATTGAAGCCTAAGCCAAAATACAAGGATGAACTTATTCAACTGACCCCAGTAAATCCCATTTCATCAGTAGGTATGGGCTGGCAGACCGCACCAGATTGAAAGAATAACGTCATATTTCGCGCACGGTTTTATTTATGAATGAAGTCGCCTTACTACTTTATGCCTTACCAACTGGGCAGTTTATGAACCTTTTCCCTATTCTTATTAAGATGGATGAAACTCTATCTGATTTCGACAAATTTGCCTCATCTACTTTCTTCTTATTGGTGAAATTTAACACTATCAAACTTCATTTGTTTAATATCGATTTGAAGGAAATATTGTGAGAACTGTGTGAGTAATGTGACCATAGTCAATAAGCGTCGATAGCACTGAGAAACGCACAGTTATTAAAAGGTGTTCTGATTAGGCATTATAATATAAAACCGAACCAGTTTTATTCATAACTAAGATGAGATTTAATAAAGATTAGTTGGTGTCAATATGTTCAGTTTGAAGTTTCTCGCCAAAGCAGGTAAGTGGTTTAGGACGATAATCAAAAAGTGGCCTTGAAACATATCGCTACAGAAGTGTGCTCCCACACCCGACATCAAATTTTGAATATTTAAAGATACACTTCATCTTGCCTCACATAAAATATGAAAGAAAAGGTAAAAAAATATCAAAGACTATTCATTATCATGTGTTTCGCAAGAAGTTCACTATTAAAAAACCGTTCTATAGCTCTAGTTATAAGAAACACAGCTTTAAAGAAATCGACAAATGCGGCATAACTCTAAGAGGTAGCAAACTGACGCAGAAAGAATGGACCAATAGACAGTTGTTATTTTACATCTATGGATGAACATTACTCAAAGCGCAACGACACGAACATGTGATGAGAATCACGATCGACAAGTCGATTATTCAGTGTGGACGATGTTAACCAGGCATCTGCAAGTACAGATCACCCGAGTGCTTACTCGATTTCATTACTTGAACTTTATAAGCTCACTGTGAATAGAAATGACAATACAGGGGGATGACATACTGGGGTCACCAATTGAGAAACTTTCACATCACTAGTTGTGCGCAACAACACTCATGCGTATTCTTGATCACAGTGCCAACGAATGACTTCCAAAATTGCAACAAAAGAACCACCATCTTAATCCATGTTCTCGTTTCCGCTTCCAGTCGAGTCAGCTCACCACGTGTTCAATTCAATCCATCCTTTGTTACGCTTCCAATGAATACCATCTTATCACTCGCCTATTTATGACCAACTACAGATGTTCTCATCCATGTTGCCAAGAGGAAAGAAGTGGAAGTAAATGCCAAAGTCCAACACACATGTAAGCTGTCAGACACTGGTTGCATTGGAAGTA